CCAGGGCTCGAACCCATGTCTCCTGCATTGGCAGGCAGATTCTCAACCACTGCACCACCAGGGAAGTCTGGAAGCTACAATTTTTTGCATTGCATATCTAAACATATCTTTGTTCAACTTTCCAAGAGTGATACCTCTGGCTTTTATAGAAGCTGTGTCAAACTCCCTTTCACTGAGGGAACTCAGACTGGTGGTGCTCCAGCTGGAGCTGTGTTGGAACCATGCAGAGGGCACATCAACCTGGTTGCCTGGGCCCCGCCCCACAGTCTCAGTCCAGTGGGCCAGCGGTGGAACCCGAGACTCTGCATTTCTAACCAGGTCCCAGGTGATGCTGATACCGCTGTTGCAGGGACCACAGTGAGAACCACGACTTAAGCCATTATCTGCTTTTCAAACTTTTCCACTGACTCACTGTTAAAGATGCAAGACAAATAATCATAAACAGGTGGCCCTCAGAATACATGTTTGCCCAAAATACCCACAATTGAGGCAGAGAATTTTTTTTTATCAAAGCCATATGTGTACTTGGTTTAAAGAATTAAATAGAGCTACAAGTCTAAAATGAAAAAACAAACAAAAGCAAGCAGCCTCCTGAAGAGGCTCCCACTTCTGCCACCCAGATGTAACATCCTCCAGCTCTTGAGCTGCTCCTTTTGATATCTGCTCTCATGTTTCTAAACAATATTCTACTATGTCTTGATTTGTCCATCTGAGGCATTATTTTTTTTTAAACTATTCACATCCTTGGCCCACTTTTTAAAAAATATTTATTTGTTTGTTTGGCTGCGTTGGGTCTTAGTTGTGGCACGCAGGATCTTCGCTGCAGCACACGGAATCTTTTTGTTGTGGCGTGCGGGCTCTAGAGCGCACAGGCTTAGTTGTCCCTCCGCATGTGGGATCTTAGTTCCCAGACTAGGGATCCAACCCACGTCCCCTGCATTGGAAGGTGGATTCTTAACCACTGTACTGCCAGGGAAATCCTGAGGCATTATTTGTTGACTCCTTGTGATTAAAGGGAAGGGTATAAAATTCTTCATCTGCCACCTCTATCCTCCTGTTAGAGTCTTTCACAGTTTGGGGCTAAATCACAGTATTCAATGTATACATCATCATGTCTATGTAAATATTGTTTAGTACTGAGCCAACTGGTGTACATTGATTTTACTTCCAATATTTAAGTTTTTATATTTTATGGAGTCATTTTTTAATTTAATTTTTATTTTATTTTGGAGTATAGTTGATTTACAACGTTACGTTAGTTTTAGGTGTACAGCAGAGTGGATCAGTTATACATATACATGTATCCACTCTTCTTCAGATTCTTTTCCCATTTAGGTTATTACATAATACTGAGTAGAGTTCCCTGTGCTGTACAGTAGGTCCTTTTTGGTTATCTATTTTATGTATAGTATAGTGTGTGTGTTAATCCCAGACTTATGGAGTTATTTTTTATTGACTCATTTTGTGTTGCTGTCACTAATTCTCCCAGGTCCGCAACAGAACTGGAAAACCCTCCACTGCTGGTTCCCCATCATCAAATGCAACAACGTGAAGTCCACTAGTTCCTATTTGTCTGCTTTATTCCTGCTGTATTAGTGTCCTAGGGCTGCTGTAACAAGTTGCCACTTGTCTTACAACAACAGAAATTTATTGTCTCCCAGTTCTGGAGGCCAGAAGTTCAAAGTCGGGTCTTGGCAGGGCTGCTTCCTTCTGAGGGCTCTGAGGGACAATACGCTCTGTGCCTCTCCCCTTGTTTCTGGTGGCTGCTGGCGGTCTTTGGCCTTCTTTGCCTTGTAGGAGCCTCACTCCAATGTCTCCCTCCATCTTTACATGGTCTTCTTCCCTCTATGTCTCCTCTCTGTGTGTATCTCACGGCCTTCTTAAAGCGATGCCAGTTATATTGGATTAAGGTCCTTGTAAGTATGACTTCGTCTTAACTAATAGCACCTGCAAAGACCCTATTTCCAGAAAAGGTCACATCCTGAGGTTCTAGGGGTATGAACCTTTTGGGGGGATGCTATTTAACGTGATACACCCATGCATGTTATTTCTAGAAGAACCTTCTGCCCTCCTGCTCTATCTGGGCTGATCATTCTCTAGACTTGCTCAACTCCCTTAACCTTCAGGCTGAGATTTCCTTCGTTTTCCTCCACGAATCCTATTCCTTGACTTCTTGTCTGCCTCTCTTTGGTTAACTGTCAAGTCGTGTTGGAGCACATCCTCCAGTGTCTGTCTTAACAAAGAGTGCTACATTTTATTTTTATGGCTGCGTTAGGTCTTCGTTGCTGCGCGCGGGCTTTTCTCTAGTTGCGGCGAGCAGGGGCTACTCTTCGTTGAGGCACACAGGCTTCTCATTTGCGGTGGCTTCTCTTGTTGTGGAGCACGGGCTCTAGGTGTGCGGGCTTCAGTAGTTGTGGCGCATGGGCTCAGTAGTTATGGCGCATGGGCTTAGTTGCTCCATGGCATGTGGGATCTTCCCAGACCAGGGCTCGAACCCATGTCTCCTGCATTGGCAGGCAGATTCTCAACCACTGCACCACCAGGGAAGCCTGGAAGGTACAGTTTTTTGCATTGCATATCTAAACATATCTTTGTTCAACTTTCACACCCAATTTGTAGTTTTGCTGGGCATAGAAATGAGGTTGACAGTTATTTTTCCCCAGAATTTTGAAGGCCTTCTGTTTTGGCATCTGGTTATGCAACATGCCATGTCATTCTGTTTCTCGAGCCTTTTTACTCACCTCTGTATAAGCTGTATTAGCTGTAGAATCTTCTCTCTGTCTCCTGTGTTTTGAAATATCATAGGGATTGCCCCCATGCAAGTCTGTTTTCATCCTTTGGCTGGTATGTGGTGGTCCTTTCATCTGGAAACTCACATCCTTCATTTCTTGGACAATGTTCTTACACTGTCCCTTTGGTCATTTCCTTCCCTCTGGTTTTTAATCCTCTCTTTCTGAAACTTTTAATCAGATGGTGCACATCCTGGAATTGGCTTCTAATTTTCTCTTTTCTTTCCTCTTACTTTTTATTCCACACTTTGTGTTCTGCTTTCTGGGCAGTTCCTTGTCTTTATCTTCCATCCCATCTATGGAATTTTAAAAATCTTGATCATCATATATTCAGTTTCCAAGCCCTCTTCCTTATTCTCTGAATGCTCCCTGTTTTCAGCATCCTGTTTGTCTTGGAGAAGTAATCGTCCCTCTAATCACGCTGATGATATTCCTTAGAATTGTTTTGCTCAAGTTCCTCGTACAGCCTGTATGGTCTGTTTCCTCTGAGTTCCTTTTCTCTGGTTGTTTTGGTCCTTGCCTTTTATGTAATCAGCTTTCCTCAGATGCTCTTGACCTTGACTGTTCATATTTAAGAATGAGTCACTTTCGGTGTTGACCGAAAGGCCCTCTGTGTGTGTATGGAGGGGAGTGGGGGGACATGTCTCTCAAGGGAGACTGGGCTGGAAGTGGCCGCTGTGTTGGTGGGTCCTCAGCATCGCTACTAGAGGCCCTTTGTCTGGGGCTGTTTGGTTCCTCCAGGGAAGAATCCTGTCATCTCCTGCCTGGGGTGGGGTTTGGAGGGCTCGAGCAAGGGTGCAATCTCGGCTGTTAGAAGTCTGAGAACTGAGCAGCTTGGGGGTGGGCTTTTACCAGTCAGCGGATGACAGGCAGGTCCGTTAAAAATAGAATCTGAGCTATATTTTATATAACTTAAAATTTTCTAGTAGCCACAGTAAACACAGTTAAAAAGAAACTAATTAGTTTCATTAATTAGTAAAATTAATTTCAGTAGTATATTTTGTTTAACCCAATATAACCAAAATATTAACATTTCAATGTATAATTTAAAAAATCATTAATAACATTTTACAGTCTTTTACTCTTGCAAATCTTCCAAATCTGCTATCTTGCACGTTCAGCACAGCTCATCTGAGAGCAGCCACATATCAAGGGCTCAGTGGTCACACGTGGCAGCACAGGTGTAGATCCTCTCTTGGTCCCCGTGCCCAGCTGAGTACCCCTCCCACCCTCTGCTGGGCCAGAGCCCCATTCCCCTTGGCTCTGTTTCTCCAGAGAATGCCCTTCTGTCGGGGATGAACTCTTTGGCTGTAGAAGGGTGGTGCTGGCCACCTGGGGCGGTTATGTGCTTCCTGTCTTCCAGCCCCACCCTCTCTCCTGCCTGCTGGCGTCCTGGGTGCCCCCACCACCGGGCCCGGGCACCTTCCCAGCAGCAGCCCCCATGCCACAGCTTTGTCTGCTCTGGGACATCGGTTACTGCTCCTCTGCCAGCTTCCAGTTTCCTAAGTATGCTGACATCTCTCGTGCACTGTACCCTCCTTGCCCATTCTTTGTGCTTATGAGCTTGTAGCTTTTTTATTTCTTTACTCTCATGTTGGGGGGGTTTCAGTGAGAAACAGAGATAAATGTATAAGTTCAATTTGTCATGTTCAGCCAGAAGTCAGGAAGTGTTCTTGTATTTTATCTTTAAATTTCCTGTGTACTTACAATTCTCTAGTCCAAAATGTATTTTTGTTTACATAACATTGATAGCTTACATTACCAGTTGAATGGCCAAACTTTTTACAAACCAATATTCAGATAAAACTAAATGTTCTCCTGTGGCCTTGTATCCCCCCCAAATATCCCAGTTTGAGAAAGGGGCTTCACCAGTGTCCTCCACAAGCTCCATGGGCCTGTCCAGGGGCCCTGGTCCCCTCCCTTCTCCCCCGCAGAGGTCCTCCGGAATCTGGCCCAAGCTCCCAGGAGCCCCCTACCCCCAGTGGCCTTCAGGATCTGTCTGATCCTGCCTCCATTCCCAGGGATTCCTTGGCACCCTTGAAGCGCGAGGCTGCACATTTACATGGGATGGCAAGGGGGTTTCCATGGCAACCAGCCCTTGGCACCTGCTTGCTCCCTGACCTGGAATCACTGATTGTCCTGTCTCTCATAAGGGTGCTGAAAATTGAGTCCTCTCCTTTCTGCCCCCTCCCCTTTATTTTTAACCCTCAGGTTCCCCAGCCATTTTTGTTGCTTCGTGGGCTGTCACCAGGCACTTTCTGGAAGATGTCGGGTAAGCTGGTGGACGGAGAGAGGTAACGAGGGCATATTTTATCTTGTCCAGCTCTTCCAGCATGACGGACCCTTCTTTGGAGCTGTTACCTAGGAGAGGCCTGTGTCTCAGACCTGGGGCCACAGGCAAGTTCTCTGCAGCGCAGGCTGCCGAATGCCCAGCCCTCCTGGGGTGGGCCGGCCCAGCTGCTCTTTGTTTGGGTCAGGTGCCCAACGAGAGCTGTAAAACGCTGGCAGCTGCTCTAAGGGCCAGCCCAGCTCTTCCTCTCCTGGCAGCTCCCTCCTCTGACACAGGTGTGTGAGTCCCGCAGGCCCAGGAGAGCAGGAGAGCAGCCTTATAGCCCTGACAGGCACCAAGAGCTCTAGTCTCGTTCTCCAAAGACTTGGGCCCAGGGACAGGGTAAGCCCGGGGGTTCCTGGGAGCGGGCTCATGGAAGGAAAGCATGGAAGAAGCCCGGGAGGAGGTGCAGCAGCCGGGCCGAGGGGGAGGGAGGCTGTGTGTCATCAGTGTAATGACACAGCCAGGCCAGAGAGTTGACGAGGGCAGATGAGGCGTGCACGTGTCTTGCAGTCCAATTCAGTCCAAAATAATCCTTTTTTTTTTAAACGTTTTTTATTTCTTTAATGTTGTATCTATTTTATTTATTTATTTTTGGCTGCTTTGGGCCTTCATTGCTGCATGCGGGCTTTCTCTAGTTGCGGCGAGTGGGGGCTGCTTTTCGTTGCGGTGCACGGGCTTCTCATTGCGGTGGCTTCTCTTGTTGTGGAGCACAGGCTCTAGGCACGCAGGCTCAGTAGTTGTGGCACACGGGCTTCAGTAGTTGTGGCTCATGGGCTCTAGAGCGCAGGCTCAGTAGTGGCACACAGGCTTCTTTGCTCCGCGGCATGTGGAATCTTCCCGGACCAGGGCTCGAACCCGTGTCTCCTGCATTGGCAGGCGGATTCTTAACCATTGTGCCACCAGGGAAGCCCCCCAAATAATCCTTTTAATTGGATAAATACCCTTAAAAAAAGTCTGGATTTTCAGCTTCTTTAGAACAAATGGAAAGTTCTATCAACATTTCCTATGGGCCCTTGTGGCAAAAATGAGCCAGATGGAGTTGTGGCCACCTTAGACCAAGCACAGGCTCTCCAGTTGCCAAGTGCCCCTGTGCCTGATGTCCCTGGGGCCGAGGTCACATGTCAGTCACCTGGACACTTCACTCCCTGAGGTCACCTGCCTGGCCACCATGCTCCCTGATGCATTCTGACAGCATGCTGGCTTTGGGGTCCAGAATCTTCCATCTCAGGTCCACACGCTTCTGCTCCCCAGATGCCCCCTTGGCCCCGGCAGTGCTCCTGGGCAGCAGAGGACAGTCATTTCTCAGGGTGCTGAGCACACAGCCTCTGGGGTCAGGACCACAGTGTGGGTCCTTCCCGCAAAGGGGACGTCAGAGAACTAGTCTCTTCTGGTCAGCCAGCTCCCCACTCCTTGTGATGCCTGGCTGTCCCTCCCTAGGTGCTGGGACATCAGTGCCAACGCGTCCATCTGGTGGGTCATTCGAGGGCCTGTGATCGTCTCCATCCTGGTAAGTGGCCATCCCCCTGAGCTGGGCTCCAGCGGGAGAGACCAAAACAGGACCGGCTTGCAGGGCAGAGGGCCAGGGCAAGGCCAGCATTGCTGCCTCTGGGTGTGCGGAGGGATAAACCAGACCTTCGGGGGGCTGGGCAGTGGCAGGAGGGTCTGGAAGCTCCGCCCCCTAGAGACCAGTGGATGGGAGGGCAGTGAGGCAGGTGGCAAGAGCTTGCCTTCGCCTGGTCCACAGTGGCAGTTGCAGTGTGGCGAGCAGAGCTCCTTACCCGAACTGGCTGGCTCAGGCTGGCCTGAGATTCCCCCTCCACTGGTTCAGAACGTTGATGCCTGATCATTTTTCTTGGTGTTCTCTGGTTAAAGTGGGCAGACTCACTGAGCTGGGATTACAGGAGGGGGGTTGCACCTGGGGAAAGCCAAGTGCCAAACTGGTCTTGGGCCTCTGTGGTGCTGTGATGGGGACAGGCCCGGAGGGGTGGCCCCAGCGGAGAGATTCAGGAGGGACTCGTGGACAGGGGAGCTCAGGGGTCTCAACCCTGACTGGACTGTCAACCTGGGAGCTTTCTAAAAACAGTGATAGCAGAGATGCAGGGTCTCCTTGTCTTGGGGAGGGGCCTGGGGGCTCGTCTTGGTTTTCAGTTCCCAGGTGATTGTGCTCTGCAATCCAGAGGCCCTTAGCTGAGCCTGTGGGCCTGGATAAGAACAAGAAAGACACATGGGGTGGGGGGCACACTGGGGCAGCCCCTTCCCGGAAGTAATGTGCACAGGCTCAGAGGAATGCCAAGGCTGCAGAGCCAGGTGACAGAATGTGCCCCTCCTGGGCTCACAGGAGGGCAGGACAGGGCAGCAGCCCCCTCCTGTGCTGATGGCTGACTGGCTCACCTCCTGGGGCCATCCATGACCACCTTCTTTTTTTTCAAAAATAATAGAATTTTATTTGATCCTACCTACCATCTCAACTTGCAATAGGAGAGCTGGAAATCGTAGAGAAATCCGAGTAGCAGCCACATTAGGCCACTGAGTAGCTCAGGAGAGTATAACGACTTCCTGTTTCTGCTTTTCTTAGCAGGAGTGAGGGCCATTCATTAATCTGGAACCACTCAGGGAAGAGGGTGTCTGATATGGTAGTAATGCAGAGTGTGCTACTAGCACAGGGAGTATCTAGTACTTTAAACAAGACTTTATGTTGGCTCCCCTAAGACATTGCTACCCAAAGTCATTTTATGGTAACAGATAATTTGATTATCGTTTTTATTTGCTAACCTTAGCATAGTGTTTTATAATCTGACTAAATTGAAGCTTAAGGGATAATGAAAGATATTAAGCTTTCATTTCCTACTATAGTCCTAGGCTGAAAACAGTATAATGAAATCTGCTATTATTTACCAAAAGTTGTTTTTTGTCAGCTTGTCACATTTAGATAATGTCAGAACCTTTTTTATTAGGTTGATAACGTGGTGGAAAAATATTGACTCTATCACTATGTTTTAATAAGAATGTACTTGTTTTTCTGTAAAATCAAAATATATTGTCATTTCTAAAATAATAGTAATGGAATTCATCTAAAAAATTGGAAAATACGGGCTTCCCTGGTGGCGCAGTGGTTGAGGGTCTGCCTGCCGATACAGGGTACGCGGGTTCGTGACCCGGTCTGGGAAGATCCCACATGCCGCGGAGCGGCTGGGCCTGTGAGCCATGGCCGCTGAGCCTGCGTGTCCAGAGCCTGTGCTCTGCAACGGGAGAGGCCACATCAGTGAGAGGCCCATGTACCACAAAAAAAAAAATTGGAAAATACAAAATGTATTTTTTAAAAGGTAATAAAATCACCCATATTTTTAGTACCTAGGTGCACATTGTGATCATGTGCTTTTCCTTCCTATTTTTTTCTTTGAGCACATGTACTTTTTCAAAAATGCTCAATATAGTTTTGTGTCCTAGTTTGTTCTTTTCACTTAGCAATGGATGTAATCTTTCCCATGTCATTTGAAATTATTTGACCAGCTGATATGCTGTAGCTGCATAACACTGAGCCAGTTTCCCTGCTGCAGCTGTGGGGCTTGGACAGCCCAGCCCGCGAGAGCCCCAGGGCCCAGGCTGCTTTCACAAGACTGTAGCCTCTCTAGTGACTGACGGATGTTGGGTGGGCACTCCTGATGCAAAGTTTCTCCCTACCAGCCTGTCACGGGACCTAGAATTCCACTATGTAAGACTCATCCTTGGGATAGTTAAGATTTTCCCTCTTGCTTTCAAGTTCTCCCTATTAAATTAAACACAATTCAAAGGTAAAAAATGAAATAAGGTAAAAGAGCCTTTGTTAGTTTACACCACGCACGGCTTAGAGCAAGATGCAGAAACAGTGAGCTGAGAAGTGTCCTGAAGCAGGGTCGCTGGGCTGGGGTCCCAGACAGCCCACTAATCCTGTGTCCTCTGGCCAGCGTCCCCAGGCCCCAGGCTACTTGTCTGAACAATGAGGGGGCCCAGCCAGTCAGCTCCACTGATCCTGCTTCTGCAAAATGATTCTAGAGCTGGTGGGGGAGGGGAGGAGAGGGGCCGGCGCACGGGCAACTTCATAGTGTTGCTGGCACTGGAGTTGGGGAAGGGGACACCCAAAGAAATAGACTCCGTTCCTGTCCTTTAGAAAGTTAGGACTGACTTGGTGATTAGTCGACACACACAGATGCTTGCATTTGGCCCCTTTCAAGTATTTCAAGTGCTCTTACAAGTAGCATCATCCCTAACTACAGTGAATCAGGAAAAGGAGGTAATCAAGAAGGCTACCTGGAGCTGGTGATTGACCTGCAGGGATTCTGTAAGTCTCCGAAGCAGTGCTTCTCAAAGGGTGGTCCCTAAACCAGCAGCTTCACCTGAGAGCTTGTTAAAAATGCAAATTTTGGGAATTCCCTGGCGGTCCAGTGGTTAGGACTCCGTGCTTTCACTACCGAGGGCTTGGTTGGGGAACTAAGATCCTGCAAGCCATGTGGTGTGGCCAAAAAAAAGAAAAAAAAATCAAATCTCATTTGCATTTACTAAACCATAACCTTGGGGGTGGAGCCCAGCAATCTGCACCTTAAACTTTGAGAACCTCTGCTATAAAGCCTTTGCTACTCAAAGCTTAGTCCAAGGAACAGCTTTGGCATTCATTCCCTGGAGCTTGCTAGAGATGCAGAATCTCAGGCCTACTCCAGGTCTGCTGTTTAACAAGATTCCAACACATTCCAAGTGTGAGTAATCCATGCTGCAACTGAGCAGACCTCAGAGCTCTGGAATCCCAAGGGCGGGGAGGCGGTGCTGTGGCAGCCATTCCTGCCTAGACAGTGTGTTTCACCAGGACTGGGGGTGGCGGAGGGAGTGATGAGCTGTCCTGGTGTGGTCTGCAGTGCCGCCAGGGGTCAGGGCCTGGAGAGGTGCTGGGAAAGCAAATCACCTTTAGCCCCACCTCTGCCTTGTGTTTTACAGATTAATTTCATCCTTTTTATAAACATCCTAAGGATCCTGATGAGAAAACTGAGAACTCAAGAAACAAGAGGAAGTGAAGGGAACCATTATAAGTAAGTGGAGGGCAAAGACCTAGGCACACTCGCTCAGTCAGCAGGCATTTACCGAGCACCTACCGAGCTGGTGCTGGGCACTGGTGGAGGTGGAGGAAAAGGAAAAGCCGGGACCTGGAAGTTTACAGTGGACCAGGGGAAGGGAGAATGGGTCCATGTGACCCTGAGACCCGGCCCCAGGGGTGGGGAGAAAAGAAATCTAAGCAGGATCCCTGGAGGCAGAGATCTTACCCTTGGGACAAGGCTAGGGAGTCAGAGTGGGCTTCGGGGACCCAATTTCAAATCTTTACAGGGACAGTGGCCCTCCTTGTCTGTGGGTTTTGCATCTGAGGATTCAGCCAACCTTGGATTGCAGATTGAAAATATTTGGGAAAAAAATTCCCAATCAAAACATTTTCATTGTAGGAGGTATTATACGTAATCTAAAGATGACTTAAATATATGGGGAAATGTGTGTAGGTTATATGAAAATACTACCCCATTTTATATAAACGACTTGAGCATCCAAGGGTTTTGGTGTCTGCGGAGGGTCTGGAACCAATCCCCGTGGATGCCGAGGGTAGACTGTATTTTCCAGCTTTCGCTAGACCGTAGCTTTCACCAGACCTTAGCTTTCAGCAGATTTTCAAGAAAATGTGAACCAAAAATACTTTAAAACCTTTAAGATGTTCAAGAAAGATGCTATGTTAGTCTGCACAGCCTGCCACAATAAGATACCACAGATTGGCTGGCTTAAATAAGAGAAGTTTATTTACCCACAGTGCTGGAGGCTGGAAGTCCAGGATCAAGGTGTTGGCAGGTTTGGTTTCTCCTGAGGTCTGTCTCCTTGGCTTGTAAATGGCCACCTTCTCGCTGGGTCCTCACGTGGCCTTTTCTCTGTGCACCTGCATCCCTGGTGCCTCTTCTTACAAGGACACCAGTTGGTTGGACTATGGTCCCACCCTGATGGTCTCATTTAAACTGGTCCCTGTCTGCAAGTACAGTCACATTCTGAGGCACTGGGGCTTAGTTAGAGCTTCAGCTGAAAATTCTGGGGGAACACAGTTCAGCCCATGACAAATGTTGAAGACAAATCAGTGTCCAGCAGAGGCTTTCTCTGTCATGGTCTGAGTTTTGAGAATCTGGCAGAGGCCTGGATTACCGGGTGACAGATTCCCCAGGATGTCACTAGAGTAGTGGCTGCAAAGTAGGGGTCAGCTGGGGATCCAGGACAGAGTTGCCAGGTAAAATACAGGATGCCCAGTTTAATTTGAATTTTGGATAAACAACAATTTTTTAATACTTATACCAAAAAAAACACTACCCATTGTTTATCTGAAATTCAAATTGAACTGGGTATCCTGTATTTTTGTTTGCTAAATTTGGCAACCCTAACCTAGGGAGAAAACAAAAGAGCTTCTCCTTATAGATATTTATTATCAAACAAATGAGAATGCTGCTTTTGCTAATAATACATTAGACACAGAGTGATAGTAACACATGCAGATACGTTATAAATCAATGAAGTTACTCATGTGGGTATGGGTTCAAAGCGTTTTACTGATAGGGGGCATGAACAGAAATTTGGGGACTGGCCGTGGACTGATAAGTATTGAATCCAGGTGACGGGTACGTTGGAGTTGGAGACTTTCCGAAACGGAAGTAAAAACAAACAAGCAGCGGGGACGCTGCTGCAAAGCCTCCTGCGGTCAGGCGAGAGGGGGGGCCCCTGGGTGTGGAGGGGCCCGAGACTGCAGCGCCTCTGTGTCCTCAGGCGCCTGGCCAAGTCCACCCTCCTGCTGGTCCCCCTCTTCGGAGTCCACTACATAATCTTTGCCTTCTCCCCGGAGGATGCCATGGAGACGCAGCTGTTCTTTGAATTGGCCCTTGGCTCGTTCCAGGTAAGCTCCAGCCTGTTACTTTACGGCGGGAAGAGGTGTTCTCTCTCTCCTGAGAGAAAAATGGAGAGGCCGAAAGCCAGATGCTCCTGGAGGCAGAGGGATGCCTCATTTGGCAGAGACCCAAGAGACGCAGGGGCAGGACCTCACCGTGCTGCGTGACCCTTGTGGGACCCAAGTTCCCCACCAGTCACGTGGGGGTGGGAGATGCAAGTAAGGAGAGAGAGACTGACTCCAGGGAAGACAAAGGGAACATAACCCAGCACACACGATCACACAAGTCTCAGTAATTAGAGTCAAAATAATGTAACTGCCGAGGGCTCGGGCTCAGTCATCAAGGAGTAGGACAGGAAGACGAGCGAGCGTAGTGGGGGCGTGGGTGGGGGGTGGAAGGCTGTGCGAAAGAATGGTAGCCTCATCTCCACACTGGGAAGTCCATAAAAACCGCCCCAAGTTGAAAACTTAAGAAGTGGCAACATCAGCATATAATTCAGAATCAGCTGAGTTCCAAGTCGTTGCCTCTGAGGAACAGGAAATGGGGGCAGGGCTGTCAGAAGGTTACTGTTCTTTCTTTTCTTTTTTTTGTGACAAGAGACATTTGACTCTTTGAAACCAATTACATACACAATTTACTAAAAATAAAAGCCAACTTTAAAAAAAGAAAACAAAGGGAGGGGAGAAACCACCTACCTTCTAAATCAACAAGATGTTGTAAAGTTAAAAAATATAGTAAACCTGTTTGGACAGAAGGGGCTTTTTAACATGAATCCCAAACTTCACAGTGTTATTTGTTTATTTACTCATAACTGTCTCTTTCCAAAAATAACATGATGTAGCTTTCAGGGAAAACATACAAAGGACAAAAAAATAAGTAGATGGGATCAGTGAATAAAGAAAATAAAGCCAAAACTGAGTTCATACACAGAAACAAATTTGATGAAGTTTTCTGAAGGTGGCAGAGGTGTGTCATAAATTTGGTTTGGAGCTTCCCAGTAGCCAAAGCAAAGACAGAAACACACTCTGTTTCAAGATTTCGATGAAAACAGGCTGGTCCCTAGGGAGAGGCCTGAGAGAGCTCTCTCCCAGTGGGTTTTCCGGAAGAAGCCAGCCTGTCCTCAACAACACTGACCATCCCGCAGTCTTCCTCACCTGGGCAGGCCGCGGCTGCCCTCATTCCCGGAGTTCTGTTCAGGACGGGTGTGCCCAGGGCGGTCCTCCTGTCACGCTCCCGTTCCAGGGAGGACGTGTCACTGGGAACACGTTCCTGAGTGGGGTCTGGCCCTAAGCCGCACCTTCAGACCCCCCCCAAGGGCTGTCCCCTTCACTCCCGCAGAGCCTCTTCTCCGCCCAGAGACCCCGGCCAGCCCCCCAGACCCACAGAGACCTAGTCTCCTGTGTAATCCGTGATCTTTTTTTCTGGGCCAGGAAGCTTCCACGTAACGTGCGGGAGGCTGGGCTCACCGTGGCCCCTTTAGCAGGTGGGGGGGTCCAGGTCCAGATGGGTGGAAGGTCATGACCCGGGCAACAGAAGCGGGTAGTGACCCCGCTGAGGACCTGGAGACCCAGGTGTCATCCTTCGTGGAAGGGGACCTCCTGTCTCTGGAGCTGGGCTTGAGGCAGGGGCTGCAGACTGCTCGTGAAGGCCATCTGCCTCCTCTCTGGGGAAATGCTTGTTAAGAGGAAACCAAAAGCGCTTTCCTAAATGTTCCCATAGAAATGTTTACAGAGAAAAACGATCTTTAAGACTTTTTTTAAAAAAAAGAACCACTGTTCAAATACAGATATCATTTTATTATACATTTATACTGTATGCATATTTTTAAAATTTTGTACTATGGAAAAAATTTTCCATAATACAAGAGTGAAGTGGACGATATAATGAACCTCCGTGTGGCCCTTACCCTTTCATGGCCTGTCCTGTTTCACCTCTACCGCCACCCAGCCTCATCATTTTAAGCAACCCCAAGCCATCGTTGTATTTCAGATGTAAATATTTTAGCATGTATTTCTAAAAGACGAGAGCTTAAAGAACACACACAAAACCATAATGCCATGATCACTGTCATATATTTCTAAAAATGAAAGTTTATTAGCTCCTCCTAATTGTAGAAATACTTGCTTATTGAAGAAAATTTGGAAAATAAGGAAAAGAAAAAGGAAAATCCATCCATAATCTCATAACCCGATATAATGACCTCTGTTCAAATGTCAGTGTGTTTACTTCTGTCTCTTTTCTATCCAAGAAGACACACACACATACACACACATGTTCACACACAAAATTGAGATCGGGACGTGTGGTTTTATATCCTCCTTGTTCTGTTTAATTCTTTATCATTCCATCATGAACGTTTCTCCAGGTCATTAAAATTCTTCAAAGACTGCATATTCTTTTTTTATTTATTGATTTTTGGCTGCGTTAGGTCTTTGTTGCTGCTCACGGGCTTCCTCTAGTTGCGGCGAGCGGGGGCTACTCTTCGTTGCGGTGCACAGGCTTATTGCTGTGGCATCTCTTGTTGCGGAGCACGGGCTTTAGGCGTGCAGGCTTCAGTAGTTGTGGCTCGCGGGCTCAGTAGTTGTGGTGCACGGGCTTAGTTGCTCCGCGGCATGTGGGATCTTCCCGGACCAGGGCTCGAACCCGTGTCCCCTGAATTGGCAGGCCGATTCTTAACCACTGCGCCACCAGGGACGTCCAAGACTGCATATTCTTAATGATTGTATACAAACCGTGGAATTTCTGAAGCTTGCTGGCTGAGGCAGGCCGCCCTCTGCATACCTGGGGCGCGTCTAACCAGCCCTCACCCAGGGCTGCCCCCACCTCAACAGTGAGACTGTGTCTCCGGACCTTTGAGGCTGGGGCAGCCCTGGTCCAGTGAGGTGGCACCACCTGACCACCAGCTCCCGGCCTCCCGACCCGGGACTCAGTCCCTCACCTGTGAAGCAGGGGTCCTCCCCACCAACATCCTAGGGCTTTTCAAGGATTGAATGAAGCATCTGGAACGCAGAAGCCCAAAATTACACAGGCTAAGCTGTGCCCCAAACCCAGCTCTCGTTTATTTCAAAGCCCGACTTTCACACCCTCTGACAGCGGCTCCTAATTAATGGTGCCCCTTCGAACCATCTTTCAGAGCTGCTGATGGTCTCACCCCTGACATTTGGAGTTGGGGCACAGAGTGCACCCTGGGCCAGAGCTCCCAGGTGATTCTAACGTGTGGCAAAATTTGAAAACCGCTACCTTGAGTCCGTGTTCCTGCCCCACCCCCGTGGTCCCCATTCCATGTGGCATCAACCACACCTGAGACTCTTAGAGCAGATCCTTCTAGTTTGTAACTCTTGTTAAAACGCCAGGACTGGGCTTCTGTGGTGGCGCAGTGGTTAAGAATCCACCTGCCAATGTAGGAGACACGGGTTCGAGCCCTGGTCCGGGAAGATCCCACATGCCGTGGAGCAACTAAGCCCGTGCGCCACAACTACTGAGCCCGAGTGCCACAACTACTGAAGCCCATGCGCTTAGAGCCCGTGCTCCGCAACAAGAGAAGTGACAGCAGTGAGAAGCCCGTGCACCCCAACGAAGACCCAATGCAGCCAAAAATTTAAAAAAAACTGAATAAATTAAAAAACAAAACAAAAAACCACCAGGACTCCTGAGCAGTCGTGTGGATGAAGCCCATCATAAACAGGCTGGTTCATCCCTCTCTGGGGTCCTGTCCATGTCCTAAGTAGCTAGGGGCAGGCCTGGCTGGCACTGGGGGGAGGGGCTGTGGCACCCAGGCCTCTGTGGGGAGCCTGAGGGCAGGGGCTTGTTAGGAAGGACAGGCTGGCCCTCGGAGGGCCCTGAGGTGAGCAGGGCATCCAGACAGCGAGACGCTGCTCATAGCTCACGGTTCCACGCAAGCCTCTTTGGCTCAGATCCTGCATCTCAGCCCGCAGCCCTGCCTGGCAGGCTCCACGCCAGGATTCCGGGGGTACCACTGGGAAGAGAGGAGCTCCGGATGCTAGGGAGGGAGGGTCCTGGTAGGCACAGACCCCCACCATCCCAGGGAACCTAAAGCATACGTAGCCCTGAGGCCTCTGACCTGGACATGAGGGGGGCTCACGCCCCACTTGTTGGCTGGCCGGTACCTGCCTGCGACTTGCACACCGGCTGTTCTGACCATATGGCTACACATTTGTCTTTCAACTTGAATAGCTGGCCCTGTTTAAACCTCTCCAGATTTCCAGCTGTCTTGCAGATGAGCCCACCCAGGCCCAGGGGCTCCCATGGGCTGCCCCACCCGCTGAGCTCGGGCCGGATGGGCATGGCTCAGGTGCCATTGCTCTTGCCTCTCCCAGATGGCCTGCCTCACTGATTCCGGTGACCTGCCTGGTCCCTGTGCCCTGCACTTAATGTAACTGACACCATCCTGGTGCAGGGGCCCTCCCTGGACACGGGGGAGGTCCTTGCCTCCAAGGGTGTCAGTCTGTGGGTGATGCCAGCACAGCTAGGGGCACTGAAGGCCGGAAGAGGAAGCCTACACTTCCCCTGTAGGGGGAGAGGCGCGGGGAGGCTCTGCAACAGCTGTGGGGAGCAGTGAGCTTGGGGCTGGTGATGAGAGGACCCCAGGCGGGTAGGAGGCTGGGTGCTGGGTCCGCACTCATCCCGTTGCCCTGTTTCTTCCGCAGGGCCTGGTGGTGGCCATTCTCTACTGCTTCCTCAATGGGGAGGTGAGTGTCCTGGGCTGCCCGGGTGCACCCTCACAGCCGTACCTGGAAGGGGTGCTGGGGAGTGGGGTGTGGCGTTGGTGGGGGAGGCCTGGCCCTGCTGGCTTGGGCCTGTTTTCCGGGAGTCTGGGCTTACCTCCTGGGGGCCCCAGGATCACCTGCGGGCCTTGTTAAAACAACTGCTGGGTCTTACCCTGTTTCTAAACCAGCAAAAATAGGTCCCGTCAGTCCGGGCTGGAGGCTGAGAACGTCTTAACTGGCACTCCAGGTGATTCTTATCCTTGGGTACGTTCAGGAAATGGAGGCAAGTGCAGGCGCCCCAGCCCTAACCAAGGCTGATGAATGTCCGCTTGCTCGATGGGTGACGCCGGTCACTGCCCTGCTCTGGGCCTCAGGCCTCTCATCTGTAAAATGAGTGACTCAGGTGAAATGTTTGTTGCTCCGTCCTCTGAGACCTCCAAAGAGTGTGACTCCTGGCAGGGCGGGGGGCTGCGCCCTTAGCTTGAGGTTTCCGCCCTGCCCAGAGCACTGCTGGGACATGAGGCTCCTGGCACAGACGCTGAGCAGTTGACGTTAGTTGGATGAGGTGTTGCCTCACTTGAATGGGAGTCGAGATGGCAAATCTATGAGCGGCCTGCAGGAGGGGGAGGCACGCCCGCTGGGCAGACGTGGCAGAGCCCAAACGAGGCCCCAGGGGAGCAGGACCCTGGGCAAGGGTCATCTTTCCCTCCGGGTGACGGCTGGTCTCTGGGGGCAGGTGCAGCTGGAGGTTCAGAAGAGGTGGCGGCAGTGGCACCTGCGTGAGCTCCCCTGCACCCGGTGGCCCTCAGCTCCTTCAGCAGCGGCACCAAGGCCAGCCCCTCGGAGCAGAGCCGGGGTACCTGCAGGACCAGTGTCATCTGAGGCTGGAGCAGGGCCACCCAGACAGGCCAAGATGGGTCCTGAGGGCCGACTGCTGCCCATCTTCCTGCCAGATGCTGTGTGATCGCTCCTGCGACTATAACACCCCTCCTCTGGGCCTCGGGGCGGGGGCGTGGTGGTAATTCCTCAGAACCCAAGGGACCTGGGGCAGGAAGAGGGCCTGGGATTTGGGTCTGTTGAGTTTTCTGGGAAGATTTCAGGGGTCCCAGGAGGGCGCAGGGGAATAAACGGTAACTGGGATGAGACTTGGTATTTGTCAGCCCTGTTGCCCTTGAGCCACCAGGTGAAGGATGCTGTCCCCCACCACTTCCTGGAGGACGGGGCTTCCCTGATCCCCCTGCTCCAGTTTTCAGGGACAAGCTGAGCAGAAACTGAGGCCCTTGGCCCTAGGTGGACCCTCCCCACCCCTCACTGCAACTCACCCACCCAGTAGCTCTTCCCCCAGGGCCTTCTGACAACCAGGTCACAGGGAGCCCAGGAGAGCCCCAGCCCTTTCAGTCGCCCTAGCATGGGATGAGGCACCTGCTCTTCCTGCTTTCAGCTAAGTTATCTGCAGTACAGCAGGAAATGGGGCAGAATCCCATTCGACAGAAGAGAAAATGGTTCACCAAGGTCCTGTGACTTGACCAAGATACTCAGCAGGGCAGTTGGCAGCTCGGTCCAGGGCTTCTGGTTTCAAATCCCCAGGCTCCAAGGCTGTCTCCCCTGCTCCTGGGCAAGGGCGGACAGGGCCCTGTCTCCCCGCCCCACTGGGGATTTTAAGTCTCACCCTTTACTCTGAATCTCAGTTCCCTCAATTATTAGCACTCCTTCCCTGCCAGCCATGTGAGGGTTAAAGGACTAAATATTTAAACCCTTTTACAAAACGAAGCCTATGTGCTCAGGGGAGAGCATTCTTTCTCTTTTTTTTGCAGTACACGGGCCTCTAACTGTTGTGGCCTCTCCCATCACAGAGCACAGGCTCCGGACGTGCAGGCCCGGCGGCCACGGCTCACGTGCCCAGCCGCTCTGCGGCACGTGGGATCCTTCCGGACCGGGACACGAACCCATGTCCCCTGCATCGGCAGGCATACCCCAACCACTGCGCCACCAGGGAAGCCCAAGGGGGAGAGCATTCTTGACAGAAGCAGAGGCGACCCTCCCCGCGGCTAGAGAAGAGGGCATCTTGCTGGTAGGTGGGCCCAGCTCTAGTTCTGGCTTTGGGTGTCCCTGGACAAGTGGCCCTGGCCCCCAACTTCTGCATCTCACCCCTGAAGACAAGGTCACCCCCTTTGCATCTTATAGTCTGTTACTGGGGTGAGAATGCCAGATACCCATTTTCCAGGGCTCTCTCCAGGGACCTTCATGGACTCTGTACATCTTAGAATCAAAAAGTTAAAAAAAAAAAAATCACAGGAGAGGTAGAGGCACCCAGTCCAGCCCAGAAAGAGGACCTGGCAGGGCAGAGACCAAAACCCCATGCAATCAGTGGCAGCCAGAATGAACCAGGAAAGGCCTGAATTCATCAGGTGGGGGAGGGGCACGGGGCTAGTGTTGAATGAAATGGGCTGAGGGCAAAAAACCCACCTACTGGGCAGAAAATGGACTGGAAAGGGGCCAGTTTGATGCACAGAAATGTAAAGTGGCGAGCAAGGGTAGAAATCTCCACTGGTTCTTGGTCCCCTCCACCTGCAGGCCTCTGCATCCAGGGTGGTTGTTAATCATTACCTGAGGTCGGGCCAGTCCCCAGTACCTCCTGGAGTGCAGCACCTCCAGATACATGCTCTTTGAAGTGTGTTCTAGGATAAAAATGGTACCCTGAGGCTGTCTGGCCCTTACCAAAGATGGATTGCCCACGCTTACCAAGCCAGGCGGGCCCTCCTGGAAGGGCTTCAGGCGAGATTCACAGGGAGAGTCCCGAGGCACAGCCAGCTGCTGGAAGCTGGGGTTATCCAGGGATTACGGGGTCCCCCCGACAAAGGGCAGGGCTCAAATAAAGTCAAACAGTTTGAAAAGCTTCTACACCCCAGCAGCCCTGAACGCTGCCTCCCTGACATGACCAAAGCTAAAGCAGGGAATTTGCACAAGGCCCTTTGAGCTGGTGAAGAAAGTCTAGGCACTGACTGGACACCCTTCGCTGACAAATGATTCACTCTTAGCAAGCCCGGAGGCCCCAGGGACCCTGCAGCCCATATCCCAGCAGAGTCAATAAAACAGGTGTGAAATGTACTTGGCTGTGCAGCCAGCCTGAGCACCAGTTACCTGGGCTGCCTCCACATCTATTCCCATCCCAGGAAGGACTCAAGAATAGGTTTTAAAATATGTTTCTTCTTGTAAAGTGAACATCCCAATAACATGGCTAAGCTGGTGCAGCTGGTGGCTCGGAGGCACCCACCTGGCCTCTGGGCTGCAAAGGCCGCTGGCCCGACCACCCCAAGGCCAAGAGGCCGCAGTTCGAATGTCACATGTTGGAGAAGTCCCATCTTGACCACACTTTCCGGTAGAACTCAGTGCCCTCGCAGAGGGGCCTAAAATTTTGCAGGCAGGCCCCAGGGGTACGTGGCGCTGTCAGTACGGCTGACACTGTTGATGTGGAGGCCGCTGATGGCGTTCAGGAAGAAGAGGAAGGAGGCCGTGAATTCGCTCCAGAACGTCAGGCTGAGGCCCATGAGCGTGACCTCGTTCCTAAGGAGCGTCAGGAAGCTCAGGAGGCCCCCGAAGGAGAGGATGGACACGAGGAGGAAGAGGGCGGAGCCCACGGCCCACTTGTGCCACGGGTGGGCGTCCTCGGACACCTGGGACACCATGAGGAGCTCCAGGCCAAAGATGGCGACCACCACGGCCAAGGTGGCCACGCTGCGGGCCACAGCCATGCCCGAGGCTAGCCTGGGCACGTGGGCCTGCCTCAGGTCTCGGAGGCAGTGCAGCTCAGCCTGGTTCGAGGTGGTGCAGAAGTGCCACAGCCCGAACAGACGGTCGTCGGCCAGGAGCCAGTGGCCATCGCAGATGGAGAGGTAGGTGAGGACCATGGCCAGGGAGGCGCAAAAGATGATGAGGGCCCGGATGGAGGGTTCAAAGAAGGACCGGCGGGGCCTCCTTTGGGCCAGCAGCTTCTGGGCCTGGAAGACAGCACGGGGAAGCATGAGCGAGGGCCCCCGCCACAGCCCACCAGCCTCCTCAGGGAAGACCCAGAGCACACCTTGTAGCTTCCGACAGCCACAGTTTCTGCTTCGGTCTCCCAGGATGCCCGGGAAGCCCACCTTAGTCACAGCACAGACCCACCTCCTGGTGGGGCGGGGGGGACCCTCCTCCCATCCTACCTGTTCCCCATCCGTCCTCCATTCGAGACCTATAAGCATTGCCTGTGGATCCAGTTATTCATCAGGCAGAGTTCCCTGACCTTTCTTTAATGATCTTTATAATGCGTAAGAAACCCAAATTGTATTGACAGGCAAATCTTGGTCCATTCTGAAGTCAGCAAACCTGTCTGGCTTGGCAGATGTGACCTTGAGCTAGCAGCCAGCCTTGGTTTCTCTGTATGCAAAACAAGAATACTGCACTAGACATTATTAGCACATCAGTGAAGGTGACTTAACTCCCTCTTCTGGCCCCAGGTCTTCCCCAGTTTCATTCTAATCTGCACCCAGCTTTTTCCGCACTTTTCTTCAGTGCGCAGTGATGTTTGCACTTTGCCCTTCAGTCTGGCTCAGCCTGTACTCCGCCCAGGACAGGGCACCGCTGTCTGTTGTAGAAGCTTCTGGGCGGGGGAGTCCCTGAGGCTCCCCTTCAGCCTATGGTTTCGGCCCCGCAAAAGTACACCCTATCCTCTCTCCTGACAAGCTGGGCCAAGCGTCCAGTGAGGTGTCCCTTCTCACAGCCCCGGGACATCCCCAAGCCACCGTCCCCAACCCCCAACCCGGAAGCAAAAGGAATGCTTCAAAGGGTAAAACTCCTTAGATGGCCCACAAGCCCTCCCAGGGCATCCTCCCGGCCACCTCGCATGCCTAGGACAAGCCTAGCACTTTCCTCCTCACATCTACTGGTCCCTCCACCTGAAAGGCCCTTCTCCCGGCTGCCCCCCTTTCTCCATTCTTCATGTCTCAGCTGAAACATCACCTCCTGGGAGAGGTCTGTCCTGCCCACTCGACCCACAACGGACCCCTCTGGTCACTCTCCGTCAGGAACCGTTCTGACAAGTTTTCCATTCCTGTCTGATTCATAGTGGGAGGGCAGGACCGTGTCCCCGGCACCCGGTGCTGGGCTCAAGAGCCACGAGGTCGAGTTTGCAGCCGCTGTCACTTCCATCTGAAGCTCCCTTTAAACCATCTCCTGCCCAGTCATAACTTACGCCCTTTACAGTGTGTGTGGAAGCAGGCCAGGTCACGCCCCAGTTTGGGAGGTTAAGCAAAGCACACAGCTCATGCGTGACGGTCACTGCTGGGAAGCAAACCGAAAGGGGACTCGGGGGGTGAGCCCTATGGCACGTGCAAGTGGAGGCTTCCAGAGGCGGTCTGGGCCACCCCTCTCGGTGAGGGGCAGAAAGCAGAGCCACGCTCCCGGGAGGCCCTCGCCCTTTACAGTGTGTGTGGAAGCAGGCCAGGTCACGCCCCAGTTTGGGAGGTAAGCAAAGCACACAGCTCATGCGTGACGGTCACTGCTGGGAAGCAAACCGAAAGGGGACTCGGGGGGTGAGCCCTATGGCACGTGCAAGTGGAAGCTTCCAGAGGCGGTCTGGGCCACCCCTCTCGGTGAGGGGCAGAAAGCAGAGCCACGCTACCGGGAGGCCCCGGGATCCTTATGGATCCGGCTTGCTTTCAGCACTTCTGCCTAGTTAGGTTCCTGTCTCACTCTTAAACCTGAGTCTGGTGGAGTAGGGTGCTCCATGGTGGTGGGGGGATGGGGCGGGGTAGGTAAAAAGGGAAACTGTCACACACAGGTCAGGGGACCAGCCCAAGAGCATTCACCGAGATCACAGTAAAGCCTGGCACAGCTGCCCGACAACT